GAAACTTTATGACGCACCTAAATTTGTCATATGAGGTTTCCGCTGCTTAAAAATATCAGTATCCCTTTTATTCTCTTCTATTTACACGTCTAATGATGTCCTTTTCTGACACAATGTTTAATATAAGGCTTGTCTCTTTCTCTCCATGAAAGTGCATCCCTTTCTCCTTTGATCACTCATGTTTGTTTTGGTGTCCTGAAGCCATTGTCATATGTGTAGCACTGTAGATAACACCACAAAATGCTGTGGAACTGACCGATATCAGCCCAGATTACTGCTTAAATGGCCCATATCGTTGAAAAAACTTTCCTCACTTTTTGAATGTGCGTAAACATTGTCAGAGTTTCAAAACATACTATTTAAGCCCCAATCCATGTGGCCCATATATGGAAACTAAGGTGCATAAACAGCCCATGTTGAATACATTGTTTTCATAATTTCACAAAAACGACACATTTACATTATATTCACCTGTTAAGTCTATAGCAGTTTCGCCCCACTGATTCAGTCTGAAGTTCAAAGGACTGTTTTAGCTGGCCTGCTGTGTGAATGAGGCTTAAAGCCAATCTGGACAGAGGTCATTTACATATACATCAGTCTTAAAGGCACAGTAACAAAAAAAGCCTGTTTTATTCTGATAGGTTGTACCCAGGTGTTTAGTTTGATCTCTGGCAGCGGATTTCACGAAAGATGGCAGATGAGACCCTTGGAAGACACAGATCGATGGGGGGGGGTTGAAATGTGTGAATGTGGTATGAAAAGTGTTGTTAAAGTTTTAAAATGTGCCCTTCGCTCCAGAGTCCATATAAGAAAACTAAAATGCAAAAACAGCCTGTTTTGAATTCGTTACAGCTGCCTGTTCAGCCTACAGCAGTTTTGAGTGGTTAAGCCCTGACTGCTTTGTAAATGAGGCACCCAATCAGCTCTGTTATATTTACATATCAGTATTAAAAAGGTGCAATAACAAAAACAGAAGGGATTAAACAAGAGGTTGGAAAGTGGTAATGTAAAATGGATCATGACTGGTGTATAAAACCACACAAAGGTCTTAAGTCGACCTCTGAGAAGAAAATAAATGGTAGAAAAAAAAAGTAGGGCATGGGTCCAACAAGACCTTAGTCGGACTATGACAGTTAGATTAGTTATATAATTAGATTAGCAGTCTTGGACTAATATCAGACCTTTTGTGTGCATGGAAATTATTAATGCAGCCCTGCTGATGTGGCTTAAGTAGTCCTAAGTAATGGTGAGCCACTAATAATTAAAGATTTTGGAGTCTTAAAAAGTTAAGACTAAAAATACATTGTGTAACGTTGTGAATGCAGCTTGTCGCAACCCCTCAGCCTGATATTAACAGATGCTAATTTCGTTTTTGCTTCTCGACTGCCTTTTCGCAAGGTCAGCAAGAAACTGTCTCTGCTAATATTTCAAATGTTTGGCAAGTGCTTACATTAATACTACACCCAGCACTGGTCTCGATGCAGTTCTAATAATAAGTGCAGTTTTTTTGCCAGCTAATGCCCACTTTCTTCAGAGACAGAGGAACTGGTTTGGGGGGGGGGTGTCTCTGAGCATGCCCAGTCAAGGCGCTCGTCGTTGGATTTATGATGACTAAGTGTATGTGTGCATGTGTGCTTCCGGTCGTGGGAGTGATTCTCACACAACCTGACAGACTGTTGGGTTTTTCTCTGTCTTTGGGCGAAGCAGCTCTCTTTCCTGCTGCACACATCTGGATATACACAAGACTCTTACACGCATGACCAAGCAACTGCGTACACACACACACACACACACACACACACGCACACAGCATCCCATCCCATTTTAAATTAATCTCACTGTTCAGCGAGATGATGGGGGATTAATGGTGGGTGTCTTCTGGAAATAGAAATCAGTGCCACACAAATCTCTCACCAGCCTGAAAGGCTTAAAGAGCTGTGTGTTGTATTGTTGATCTTGGGCTATCTAGCGCTGATCCCCAAAAACAGGTCCAGGGTCAGCATGCTTACTGCGCAGTGGAGGAATGATACCCGTCCCGAGCCCAACAGGGCCCGACCCATAATAAATATCTGGTATTGTTGTGTATTCAGGCCAATTCTTTTACGGAAAACAGGTAGGGGTGAGTGTTGTGGCAAAAAAAAAGATGCGATACTTCAAGACATTTTAATGAATTTTTTTATGCAACGTGTGACAGTTTTTAGTTTTTCTGTGGTTTATGACGAAGTAAGAATTGGACAGAATGCAATCAAAAAAAATAGTTTTTTTACCAAAAAATGCTTTGGTAAACTGAAACAAAAGTTTGTTTTAAACAGATTTAAGATTGATGCTCTTGTTCAGTGTGCTAGAAGTACTGACGATACCCACGATATACTCGGATAAGTGTGTTTTGATGTAATTTATCACAGTAATGAGAATTTGTCTGTGCCCTGATCTTGGGTTTGTGTTCTGATGAGCGCTTTATTTTTTAAATATTTCTTTCTTTCTTTATTTACTTGCTTACCTAGTAGTTTTTCATGTTCTTGCACGTTGTCTCTCTTCGTTGGCCATTTTGGTCAGTTTTGGACAGAAATTTCTTGGGCTCTGGTCCGTTTCAACCTTGAAACTTGATGTGGTTGGGGTCTGGATTGTACTGAAAATTCTTGGCCTGTTGTCAAATTCAGACTTAAAAAAAAAAAGGTCTACTACAGATCAGAGATGTAAAATCCATGTTGTATGTATCATACTGTATTGAACTGTGTTGCAGCTTATTGTATTATTTTGTTCTATCTGACCAGTATGTTAACCTGATCACATTCACATTTTACAGCCACTCATTGAAAAATGAAGTGAATCGAGACTCCGCTGTATAACGAATCTTCTAATTAATTTTGTGAATCGTTGCACCCCTGCTACAGATATGGAATATCCATATTTAATAATTTCTCCTTGTTCTTCTTGCATTAGGAAGACAAACCCTCGTCGGAGTGTGATGTGTTTACTAGAAGCAGATAATCCATTATTAGAAGCAGGAGTATGAATAGTAAATCCCTGAGCTTGTTTTGAGGATAAGACACATGCGTAAACAGAACGAGTTTCCCCCGAGCTATTTCCTCTATAACTGTATGTTCTGAAAGCATAAGGCGCTTCACATCCCCTGCGTATCCAATAATATTTGTGGGAGAATAAAGAGCATAATTCTGTTTTGTAATTATTATTGAGTTTGGACTCTATTTTTGTGTGATGCTCAGTTCCATTATGAACTAACACTCCATTGCTGGTTCTGAACTGAAACAAGTACTACTAATTATTAGTACTGAACTAATTATTTCTTGAACTGATTATTGATTAATGATGAGCCTACTAATCCAGTGGTTCTCAGGTAGGTCCTGAGGCCCCACCCCCGAGACAATCCACGTTTTTGCTGTGTGCCTGTGCATTGTGCTGTGGGTTGGAAAAAATATGCAGTGTCCAAGGCAGGGGTGTTAAACTCGACCACTGAAAGGACCATATTAAAAAATCTCAAATCTATGGGCCAAAAAATGCCTGTTTTTATTGGATTTTTAATTAATGTTGCGCTGTAACCCGAAATGGCCACTGTTTATTCAAAATACGCAAAAACTTCAACAGTAAAATACAGGCACTTGTGGTAGACCTTGAAATATTACATCAATACTTGAAACATTAAATGAATGCTTGAAATTTAAATGTGCACAGGAGCTCAGTGTTTTAAACCTGCCTTTCTGCTTAGACACCTGGCATTTTTTCATTGCTGCAAGTTCATTAATACTTGGACTTAGTTTCCGAGCTGCTGAGCTAATGTTAGGTGTAAGTGCAGGTATTGAGTTTGGTGATATGACTGGTGTAGAACTGAGGTGTAAACGCTGTACCATAGACTGCTGTTGGGGTAGGAGAGTCAGAGCGCACATTACGTTGCAGTGCATGCTGGGGACTGAAGTGCAGGACATCGTGAAACAGGCTAATATTACTAGAACATACTTTTGCGGGCCAGATAGGATTGTGTCGCAGGCCTGATTGTGCCCGCGGGCCATGTGTTTGACACATGGGGTCAAGGCTGACCCTGAGGACCTGTTTGAGAACCACTGTACTAATCCAACGTTATACTTTGTTTGGTTTCCTCTCACTCATCACGCTGCTGCCATCTTGGTCATAGCAGCTATGACACCCACTGCATTTCTAGTAGTGTACTGCAATCTGTTGGAGTGACTCAGGCTATCATGAACGTTATAGAGCATTATGGAGTGTATTTGTTTTCAGAACAGAAGTAATCAATGCATTGACTTTTCCATAATGAATGCTGTCGACAGCTAATTGACATGGTCGGCTAATTGTTGAAGCGCTGTTGCAAAGAGGAGTGCCACACAAACACTGTTTAAACCTAACGTGAGAGAGCCTGAGAGGACAAAGACCCGAGTCTGTGGTTTGGTAAACAACCCCAGCTTCTCATTTAACCCAGCGCTAAGTGTGCTAATCCAGGAGGCGGAGCGCGGCCGCAGTCCACGCCCAGCTAGGTTAATCAATACGTCCTGAATGAGTGAGGTCGTTTTTCAGACTTAGTCTTTCTTTCTTTCTTTTTCTTTCTCTCTCTCTTCCTTGTGTCTGTCTCTCTCTCTGCCCCCCCCCTCTCTCTCTCTCTCTCTCTCTTTCTTCCTTGTGTCTGTCTCTCTCTCTCTCTGTCCCTCTCTTCATTCTCTTTATCTGTCTCCTTGTCGCCTTGTGTGTGTGTGTCTGTCTGTCTGTCTCTCTCTCTCTCTCTCTCTCTCTCTCTCTCTCTCTCTCTCTCTCTCTCTCTCTCTTGCTCTCTCCCTCTCATTTCATTTCTTTCTTTCTCTATCACTCGCTTGCTCTCCTCTCTCTTTTCTCACTTACTTGTGCTCTCGCTCTCTCCCTCTCTCCCTCTCATTTCATTTCTCTCTTTCTCTCTCTATCACTCGCTTGCTCTCCTCTCTCTTTTCTCACTTACTTGTGCTCTCACTCTCTCTCGCCCTCTCTCTCTCTCTCTCTCTCTCTCTCTCTCTCTCTCTCTCTCTCTCTCTCTCTCGCTGTAGTTACTCTTTCTAGTCGAATAGACTCTTATGTAACGATATTGACCCGGGGGGACGAGCCGCTGAGAGCAGCTCTCTGCCGGGGCTGCCGTGTAGCACTGAGCATTGAGGAGGGAGGAGAGAAAGAGGAAAGAAGCTGTGAGCAGTGAGGCTGCAGGGAAGAGGAGAGGAGAGATGGATGGAGGATGGATGGACAGACGAAGTGACAGAGGCAGAGGGTACTGCTGTGAGACTGATTGAATGACTGTGGTGTTGTGATGTGAGTGATTCGGCTGTGAGTAGAGCTTACAGAGGCTTTTGGGTAAAGACTACACATCAGAAGTACAGTAATAGCATATCTGAATATTGTCTGTTCGCATTTAAAAGGTAAGTGTAATTTTTAGGTAATGTAGTCGGTTCTGGGGTATTCGAGCATGCGTTGTGATCGGCTTTGTGTGTGAATAAATGCAGTGCAGCCAGCTTGGCTACATCCACAGCGTAACATCATGTGCGCTGCACCCACAACTTTCAGTATCGCCCCCGCCTCTCGCATTAAAGGATAGTCCCACCGATTTTTGGACATTTCTGCAAAACTCAATTATTGACATGTTAACAAATTCTTTGAGTGGTTTGATGTGATCTGTGGTGGTGACAGGATCCCAACATCTAAAGCAGTGTTCGGCAACGTGCAGCTCTTTTAGTACCCAGTTGCAGCAAAATCAGATTTTTAGGTAAAAATAAAATAATCCTCCTTTGCAGTAAAATAAAGCTCTGCTGATCGTTCAACACAGTTTTAACACTAAATATTCTTAAACGCTGGAGTTAATGTAGAACTGCTAATTCACCCTTAAACCCTGAAAGTTGGTGTGCAGACTGCTGGTCACCATAGCAACACAATCTCGCCTAGCTAGTAGCTAATGAAAGGCAAAGAGAAAGATTTAAGACGAACATCAATAATTTAGAATTTAATGGACTTTTTTGCATTTATAATAACTCCAGCTGGTTTCCTGATACATTTAATCTCCAACCAGAAACTGTCAAACACTAAAAACTCACAAAGCTGAAGTTTCTCATTCGCCAGCTTCTTGTTCGAATTTTCCCGTTCCACCTTAAAGGGTGCTGAAGGTACATTTTGGCGCCTCAAGCACCATTTAAGGTGGAACAGGAAAATTCGAACAAGAAGCTGGAGAATGAGAAGCAACTTCAGCCTCATGAAAAATCAAACATTGAGAGACATTTTACAAGAAACTGTTCTACTTTTGAGGAAAAGTTTTCTGCTGGAGATGCGAGAAAAGTGGCTATAGCTGAGCTAAAGCTTAAAGCAGAGCAAAGTGAGTCTGTGTTTTCATTTATATTATATTTTTTTTGCCTATACTAGCGCATTAGCACATATTAAGACACATTTTCAGCCAAGATTGTAAAATGTTACTCAAATAAAATGTGCAAGAGCCACTCTCAGGGGGGTTTGATTTTTTGTTGAAAGGACAAAATGGCTCTTCTTAACATTTGGGTTGCTGACCCCTGGTCTAAAGAGTTTAATGCCAAAGTTATTACATGAAATGATTGTGAGTACACTGTCTGGTGGCTGATATGTTATTTTACAATAGTTCTGCAACCCCTGGTCCCTGTAAAAAATCAGTCCGTGAGTTTATCAATAATAAACTGTTTTGCTTAATGACTGTATTGAGCTCTTAACACATGAATCATGCAGACATTTTGAAAAATCAGTGGAATTTAGAAGGTCAATTACTGTTTAAGACACTGCAAAAAAAAAATTATACAGTATATATCAATGGGCAGTTGCTTCAGGACTTGAAAGGTGGCCTTAAGAAGTGGAGGTGTACGATACAGTTCCACAGAGAGATGTGTGTGCGATCAAACCTAGAATAGATGGATGAAATGAGAGAGAGAAACATAGCCGCGCTGGGGTTGGGGTTTGTGCTGGGGGGGTGGCTTTATTTCAACATCCTGTGGTGTTGTGATTTGGTGAGTCTGGGCAGTCAGAGCGTCTGAGACACAGGCTGTAGTCTCCTCCTGAAAGATGAGCAGCCTAATGTCTTTACTCACAGCAGCTTTGATTTACAGCATGTTTACCTTCATCAGGGGAGATCGCTCAGATCACTTGTGTAGCTATTTGTCGGCGGTGTAATCCAGTATTGTATGCCTGCGTTAGCTGAGTGATGTACTCCCACGCTCCGTTACTCCTGCAGGCTCGGATGCGGCAGGTAAACTGCTGTCATTATCGCTCGATTTAATTTAGAGCTCCCTGGAGAGGAAGTGCCGGCTGGAGAGTGAGTGCTTCTAGCGCTGCTAGCGTTAATCTGATTTTTACCTACCGCACGCCACAGTCTGAGAGCTCGTGTGTCTGTTTTAAATGGAGTTGAAAGCAGTTGTGCAGTGATAAAGTGCTCTTTAATGCTGTTGCTCAGGTATAAATTATTATTTATTTATTTATTTATTTAACACCCACACACTTTTGCATTCATTTATTTATGATGTTTGTCTGTTATTCGGCTTCCTTGCTTATTTATTTATTAATTCATTCATTTAAAAGTAGCAGCGCATTGGAAAGAAAATCTTTAATCTTTGGCCAAAACTGAAATTCAAAACAAACTGGGCAGAAAACCAAAAATACTGTCAATAAATAAACCATTATTACAGAAGGCTAAATATGTGTGACGAAATCCAACATTGTAGACAAAAGAGAACAGTTGATTATCCAAGGCAACGAATTCCATCTTAGGCTTCGTTCACACAGCAGGTAAAAGTGGCCTAAATCTGATTTTTCTCACCAAATCCGATGGCTGTTCACAACATCTTTTAAATGTGACCAAAATGCGACCTCAGTCTGAACAGATCAGCTCCTAAACTGACCCACGTGCACAGAAGAACAGTACTTCACGCTGCTTCACGTGGCTCATCCAGAGGTAAACGATCACAACTGCCAACGAACCCCAGTCACTCCTGCAGCTTTCAGTTTCATCTTCGCCAGCATCACAGGAGCCATTGTGAAGCTTCATTGACTGACAGCTGGGCTCATCACCCAGAATGCTTTCGAGCTTGCCGTAAAAAGGGGGTGGTCATTTCTTCGATTCGTATCCTCTAATTCTTTAAACTTTGCTTTCAGACTTTTAAGTGTTCTTTGACGCTGCAGCCTCGTTCTCCTACGGCTCTCCTACGGGGTTTTGGATGAGTCTCTTCTAATCCTTCAGTACACAAAGATTTACCTCAAATGTTTATGAGGTCTTAGCAGCGCGAAATTATGATGAATGTCGAGTTGGATTGACGTAAAAGTCTCATGAATTCCGATCTGGCTGTTCAGACTAAGTTGCGTTGCTCCATATCGGATATGTATCGGATTTTAGTACCACATATGAAAGTGTCCCAAATCGGAATTGAAAATGTCAGATTCAGATGTTTTTGTTTTTTTTTTTTTTGCTGTTCACACTGCCACACAGATAACACATCTGCTGTGTGACCAAAGCCTCAGTTGTTCTTTGCACTTTGGTGCTGTTGTTTGGGATTGTTTTGCGTTAATTTTAAGACTGAGTGTGCAGATGGCGTTAGTGCGCCAGCAGAAACTTTGCTTTCTGCTGTGTTCTGCATATCGAGCTTGTTGCCATGTTTTCAGGTGGCATCCACCCTGTACTGGGGAGGTTTTTGGGTGTTACCACCTCCTAAATACTTGGCATGAACAGAGATTATGAATTGTTTCTCTGTTGTCTCTGGTAGAAACTGTGAAAGTCACACAGGGCCAATAGGGACAGTTGACCTGCTGCTTCTCAAACATCTTTATCCATGGGGTCAATTTGAACCCAGCGATTTAAACCTCCAGAAAATGATTATCATCAAAATTTCTACCCAAGTTTGTGTCAAGTGCTTAATTTCTTTGGAAAAAAAAGATAATAAAGTTAAAATAATCTGTGAGCTCTTAGATATTGTCACTTAGTTTTTGGCCTATTTAATCTTTCGGCGGAAACCAAAAAGTGCCATTTTTGACCAGTTTCCGCCAAACACCTTTCTTCCTGTTGCTGTGGTAGCAGTCTGAACACAGCTCAAACCTCTCCGCTTGAGATTTTTAACATTGTCACGTTGACTTTTAATTCCCCTGTTATCAGTGGCAGTGAGTGAACAGACTGTTTCTCCTCTTTTACAGATTGATATCTCTTCGTACCAGATGAGGAACGATGCTGGCAATGGATCAAGGTGTAGTGGAGGAATGGCTGTCTGAGTTTAAGGTCAGTGATTCATTTTTCCTTGCCTCCTTCTTTCTTTCCATGTTGTCTTTCTTTCTCCTCACGTTCTGTTTGTCGAGTGGGGACAGATGGGTGTAGAGACGGCTCTGCATCGAGCATATCAATCAGTCTCCTACAGCAGCCGCACTGACGATATATTAAACGCGCTTTACTCAGCCCACACCTCGTTTTCTCTCTCTCTCTCTCTCGCGCACTTTCTCTCTTTTTCATCTCTCCCTGTCTATCTTCTGTCTCTCTTCACATCTTTTATCTCTGGCTCTGTCTTTCCCTTCATGTCTGTCTCTCTCTCTCTTTCTGTCTGTCTCTCTCTCTCTCTCTCTCTCTCTCATATTTTCTCTCTTGCCTTGTTGCTTTCCCTCTTTTTTTCATCTCTTTCTGCCTTCCTCTTTCCATTAGTCTTTCCTTCCTTTCCTCTCACTCCATCATTTATACACACACACACACACACACCTCCTCAAGTGGTTTTGCCTGCTGAAGTGTTTGGCAGAAGGCCTCTCTCTCCATTGTCACGTAGGCTGAGGTGGAAGCCCTGCTGGAAGGTGGGAGGATGTCTGAGGAGAAGAGAAGGGGGAGGGAGTTGGACACCTTACTGAAATTGCATCCTCTTGAAACCCCCTTCAGCTCTGCTCAGTGCTGGGTTATATATGTTGTCTGTACCGGTGTAGCAAAAATAGTTAATGCTGTCAAAAGTTGATGCATTAAGCTTTAACTTGCATGTGCAGTAGTTGGCACATACACAGTTCACATATGACTGAACCTACATACGCTCGTGTGTGTGTGTGTGTGTATGTGTGTGTATGTGTGTGTGTCAGGGCAGTTGAACATGCTCTGTGGCTGGAGATTAACACTGAGATGGTATTGTTTTAAGGGAATACAAGAGTTTATCCACCTGACAGAACAGAAAAATACCACTCTAACTTCTTTAGGTACTGTTTACATTCTGAATGATGACTGCTGAGAATCATTTTTAGACTGAGAGTTGTTGTAACTTTGTCAGTCATTTTTTTGTATTTTTTTTGTTTTATTAAGCAAATTGCCTCAGTCGTGAGGAACTCTTTTAGACACTGTGAGTTAAATCACAACCCGTTAGTTTGACTTTATATGAGAGGCAGTCGTCGTCTTCTACACGAGGTAAATTATTTTCTGAGGATGTGGAAACTTGTGTAACATTTAGAACGGAGAAATATCTGTTCCAACTTTAGCTATAATAGCGTTGCCACACACCTTCAGACTTTTTAGTCAGGTGGCGCGTTAAGGCACTTGTTTCGTAGTAACATGAGCAAAGTAAAGTAATATGAAGCCCTGTCATTGGCCGTCTGAGCTACTACACACCCCTACTGAACACTGACTTAAGTTGAATAAAGGCTGCTAGGCTAAATGCTGAGATGTAACTATCGATCTTTGGAATAAAAGTTTGTATGAGGTCACATTTTTTCAGCGTCAACTTTCACATTTACAGTTTTACATGGTGAGAAGTTGACTCTGAGAATCTCTCATCAACTTTTGACTGAGTCAACTATCTTCGTTACACCGGTATGTCTGTGCTGATGTCCCATGATACTGATTTTTAGTTTTAACTCTATTGATTAAAAAACCTGTCATTTACTGGGCACCTCAGGTTATTTTAAACTAATGGTTGAAGTTATATATAGAATTAAATAACCTGCCTTCTGGAAATCTGGGTTCTGTCTGGTAAGCATTTATAACACTGTATAAGGCCCCCTTTGTTTTGTTATGTTATACTTTATTGATCCTACAAGGCAAATTTGTCTTTTTGCTGCCTAATGTTGCCCAGTCTGTGAACAGCTGATGGCAGTTGGGGTTAAGTGTCTTGCCGAAGGGCACAGCCAGGAACACCTAGTCAGTCCTGAGATTTGAAGCCACAACCTTCTGATTGCTCACTCACCTCTCTGACCCTTAGGCTACCAGCTAAAAAATGTAATTTTATGAAAAGATAAGTCCAATCACAAAAAATGCTGCATTACATGGCTAAAGGTGTGGCTGTGTAGTGTAGTGAGTCTATTTTGGCCACACTCACTGAATACAGATCCATCAAATCAATCATACAGCTGTGCAATCTCCATAAGCAAACATGGACAAACAGTTACTGTTATTGTGAAGTGGAAATGTCTAGAAGCAATGACAGCTCAGCTGCAAAGCTGTAGGCCACACAAGCTTAAACAGCAGCACTGCCAAGTGCAGAGTAGACGTCCATCCATGGATGCAGCACTCTGAGTTCCAAACATTTGGAAGAAATATGTGCTTGCAAATTCGAGGCAGTAGTTTGGGGAGGGCCATTTATCTCACTTCAGCATGATGACGTCACCGTGCACACAGCAAGGGCCGTAAAGTAATAATTTGCATTATTTGGTGTGGAAGAACTTGACTGGCCTGCGCAGAGGCGAGACCTCAACCCCATCCAGCACCTTTAGGATGAATCAGAATGGCAGTTGTGAGCCACACCTCATCTCTCAACATCAGTGCCCAGTCTTACTAATGCTCACATGGCTCAATGGATGGGAATCCAAAATGTAGTGTACAGTAGAGCTGGAAATATTTGCCCGAATCTTATATCATCTCTCAAATGTGTGCCTGGCTTAATTCCACATTAACATATTTAACAGATTTTACCCCATTTCTCCCAGCTATAGTTTTCCTCCTTACTCTGTTCTACGCTACTTTCACTACCTTAAATCGCTCGTGAGCAAACAGTACATGAACAGTGAAAAGCGCTTTTAAGTACAGCAAACTGAATGTTTGATTTGTTCGGCACAAAATATTTTTAAGCTACATGTTCAGTGTGTTTTCTGTGCAGATAGAGTTTTAGTGTTAAACAGGTGAAGCTAACATCTCGCTATATCAGCACAGCGTGAGAACAGTGCAGTACGGAAAATTTATCCAGACTCAAAAGCATTTGAGGTGCTGTTCAAAAGCTTTAATTGATGAATAAATTCATTAAATCAGAATTTAATCTGAATTTTGTGACTACGTACTTTTGGCTACTTAGGCCCAATCCCATTTCACCCCTTGCCCCTACCACTTAGCCTTTACCCCTCTGTTCTGCCTGTTTACTCCTAGGGGTAGGGTGTCCAGATTTTTGTTGAGATAGAGGGGTGGGGTGAAGTGTTAGGGCTACATGTCCATTTCAGAGGTACACTCCAAACAGAGTGCTATGAGGAAAAAAGCAAAACCAGCAAGATGGCTGCATGCGAGACCAAAGAAACGTAGAATTTTTTTTTATTATCTTAGAAAGATATAAAATATAAAAACGTTGTATTATCTTAGTTTGATGTCATTTCTATGTATTATGGTTCTTTTCTTTATACCAAGCATAAAAATTGCTAGTAGTATGCTGATGTCTCGGTAGCTAGCTAGCTAGCTAAATCTCCCATTCCACCTTAAATAAGGGGGAACGGGACAATTTGAATGTGAAGCTGTCAAATAGCTGGCTTCATATCACTGAAGAATTATGGGCAGGTGATAATGAATAATTGCTTTGAAGGCATGTGATTCCTTAAATGTAACTAAAGCCCAGCAGTGAGGAGCTGAGCTTTACCCTCCTCTGCTGTCACTGCAGACTGGTAGGGTCGCCTACAGAGCAGCGCTAGTAGCTGTTAATGAAGTAATGTTCTTTTTTTATTTGAGGGTCCCATTTCATGGGGGGAAGATTTCAACCACTACACCTCGTAACTCAGTTCTGAGGGGCAAGGAGACACTCAGAAATAAGGAGTAGGGGTAAAAATAAGAAGTGGGATTGGGCCTTAGTGTGTTTGTAAGATCTCTTTTTGGCATAGAATGAAAGCAGTCAGGAAGTATGGGTATCTTCTCATATCACGATGTATTTGGAATATATTGTCACGTTGAATTTTATCAGTGCCGTCCAGCACTAACTCTGTTCACGGAAGCCCCGAACAGGCTGTCTGTCAGACTTGCATGTATAAGTCTGGTCCCTCAGTGCGGTCACTTTCTCCTAGCTGCCAGACTGTTATTGCAGCATGTGTAAATGTTATGCTGTCTGTGACCTTTAACCATGGTGTGTGTTGCAGACACTTCCAGAGACGGCCATCTCCAGCTACGCTTCGTCTCTGAAGGAAAAGGGCTCGCTGGTTCCTGCACTTTACAAAGTTATCCGGGAGAATTACAGTGATGTAAGGCTTGACCTTCATCTTTCACTTTTTTTTGCCTCAGGGTTTTCTCTCTGTCTCTCACCTCTGTCAGCATCCTTTAGTGTTTGGCTTGCTTAAAGGGGTCATATGATGTTTGATCAAAGGGTGAATGATATGTAACTTCATGATACTTTAAGCATTTTCACGGTACATTGTATACCACAATTATACATATGTAACACAATATCTCTTTGTTTTCTGCTCAAAGCCTCACTGTTTCATTTTTAAAATTGGCTTATGATCAGATCTGATCGGCACTTGAGTTACTTTAATATTAATGAGTATCGAAAAATTCTGTCTTTAAATATTGAATTTCGTACCCAAGTTATTGGTCTTAGCATCTGTGAGCCAATAGGCAAATGTGTTATAAGCGTCAGCACTCAGTTTAGTCTGTGGTCCGTTTTGGTCAGTAATTGTTCCCACTTTCAGCACCTCATACTCATTTATGGTTTAAGCCACATCCTCCTTTCTTATCAAAGAAGGTATCCAAAAGTATCATTTAGGTGTTGGTACTGATATTTAGGATGGTGGTATTGGAGCCATACCGAAAAATATGTATCGATACCCAGTCGCAAATAAAAAAAAAATGCTGAAAATGTAAATGGTCTGGCCAGAAAAACACATTGTGGCATAATTTATCACAGTAACAGTATTGTATTGCCCCAGTTTAATGTACTGTATAAAGTTTAAAAATGCCCTGTTCAGTCCTCAGTCCATGCAATTATGGTTGTGATGTCACAGCCATGAACAGGTTCACATAAAACATAAAGAATACAGCCCCTTTAAAAATGTCTGTGTCACTCACTTTTAGTTTTGTGTGGACAGAGAATGAGAGAGTAAAGGGGGTTGGGTAGATATTTGTGTATATATCTGTGTGTGTGTGTGTGTGTGTGTGTGTGTGTGTGTGTGTGTGTGTGTCAGTCAAGTAGTCTGCTCTTTCCAGACTGGCGTCAGCTGTGGTTCTCAGGGCAAAACTCTGTTTTTATCTATGCTTGATCTGGTGGCCTGTTCCCAGATCCTGAGCCACTGAGAGAGTCTTAAACACACTGTCTCACCAGCGCACCATCTGCAGAGCCACACACATACACAGGCATGCATACACAAGCATGGCCATATCAAAGGGCCATATCATAGAAACCTGAATTTCTTAAAATTGTTTTCTTTTTTTTATGCACGAGTTTGATGTAATATGTGAACATGGTTAGTTTCAAGACGTGCCTTTCGCTCCTCAGTTTATACAGTCCATACATGGAACACTACACTGCAAAAACAGTCTGTTTTGAATTGCCTGTGTCTGTGAAATCACGGAAATAGACACCTTTGCATGCATCCGCCTATTCAGCCTACAGAAATTTAGACCCGCTCATTTACGCTGAAGCATGTTTCAGTACGGATAGCTTTTTGCATGAGGCAAAATACAAGACAGCCAATCAGAACAGAGGTCATTTACATATATAAATTACATATTACACGTATCAGTCTGAAAGGCACAGTAACAAACTGCCTGTTTAATTGAAAGGGATAAAAATAGGCTGGAAAATGGTCATGTAAAAATTAATCATGACTCTTTTTGGTAAAACAAAAAAATGTAAGATATGTATACCTTTTTAAGGACCACTCAATAAAGGCAGAAAAGTTGGCAGCTGTGTAAGTCTTTAATAATAGTATTCTACAGTTGGGCTGCACAATATATCATTGCTTAATCATTACCTAGATATTGGCCTTTGCTGTACTGAGAATGTGGCCATATGTGGTTAGGACAAAGTCCTAACTAATGGGTGAGCTGCTTGGCTTTATCTACGTAGATACCTCAGGGGAAAAATCTTGATTAGGTCATTTTTCCATTGGACGTTTCAAGATCTTAACCCTTTTGTTTCCAACCAATTCCTACAATACTTGTAGAGTTTAAACAGAGTTTAAATGCAACAGCAATTATGGTACTATTAAACAGAAATGAACTAAAAATGACACGTAATTTCTCAGAAATGATTAGGGTATTTTACTGTGTGCTGTCATCTTGACCAATCACAGTTCCAGGTGAGTGTTTCCGCATGTCTTTTCAAGAGCTTGTTCACATAATCCAATAAAAGTAATACAGTTGATCCAAACAGTGCTCAGCACAGTGCCAGTCTTTAGCGCTCATCGATTAACCAGTTCATTTTAAAATACTGCAAAGTGTATCACGGTACCAGTATTATACTATATTGCACAGCCCTGTGAAATTAATTGGTAATTAAGCGCTTTAGTTAATTGATGTAGGACAGATGAGGACATATGCGAGGTTGACTTTGCTAAATTTGGCTGAATGCAGAATGCTTTTCTCATTACAGTTAGCAGCTGTCTGGCCCTCAGGAGCTGAGGAGTGCCAGACGGTTCTCTGGTGTTGCGATATTAAGGGTGGCCCACAATGAGCCATATGCGACCCATCACGACACACTGCGCATTGTGGGTGATTGTGGGAAACTGTAGCATTGAGTGACCCCAGCACTATTTTGTGTGGGCTGCTAGCCATTTGAATAGAGAGTGAAGACAAATTACCAGACTCCTGACTTTTTATGTGGAGAAAGGTTACTGATTTGAACAGCCTGTTACGTTTATATGGGCTTACGTAAGTTTATATTATGTGGACTTGTATGTACAGCCTTAGTCATGCTTTCATTTTCAATTTCTCTTTCTTCCTCTGTTTCTGTCTCTCACGCTCTCAGCTCCTCGAGCCGGTATGTCACCAGCTCTTTGAGTTCTACCGCAGCGGGGAACCTCGTCTCCAGCGCTTTACACTGCAGTTCCTGCCAGAGCTGGTGTGGAGTTACCTGTCGGTCAGCGCTGGCCGGGACCCCCACTGCAGCGGCTGCATCGAGGCCCTCCTGCTCGGCATCTACAACCTGGTCAGTGGGATTTTCACTCGGTTCTTCTGCTTTCCTTGTTAAGGCAGCCGTGTTCTTTTAAACTGAAAGAAAGCAAAGAAAGTAAGCGGAAAGAGAACCAGTGGTATTATTTGAGTTCTTATTGTGCATCATGCTCCCAAACAGAGCTCCTAAACACTGCATCTGTCGTCCATCTTGCGTTTTTTAACTTCTCACTGTCTGCTTTCACTGATGTGAACTTTTTGGGCATTTGTGCCAGATTAATCCTAAGCCTATTTCTACCCTGTAGAACTAAATTTTTCTCTTTAATGCTAATCCAGGTGGATTTGGTCCCTGTTTATACGTTTTCCAAATGTTTATATATTGGCATCAGCAGATACGTGCATAAAAGCTATCAGGCTTCGACATCGACACCCAATTCTTATAAAAGTTAGAATTCTCAAAAAACAGAAGTGGCGCACTTAAAAGAAAACTTTCAAAAATAGTGCCGTAATTTTTGTTTTATAATTTACATATGGCACTTCAACAGCTGGTCAGAATTAAAGGCTTGAAGATCCACAGTGTGAACAGAAAAGAGAATTGTGACATAATTTATAATGATAAACGTCTGTTCACCGTTAGCGCTGAAACTTTTTTTCTTTTTATTAGCTTTATTTTTTTAAGTCTTTTTATTAAATGCATGAATCATAAAAACTTCAGGACAATTAAGAAAATACTAATTTATTGTTGATAAAGCTTTTAATAGCGCAAAACTGACCTAAAATACATACAGTTTACATTAAATAAAATAAAATAAGCTACTAAAATTATTACTATGTGTTTTGCTACAGAATGTGCTGCAAAATCCAGTGTCCAGTGTTGATCTTCTGCTGCAGAAAAAGTTTGAACAAGAGTGAACAGGACTAAATGTTTCATTTTTCATCACAGTTTCTTGATTTAATTGTTATTCAAATGATTTGTTAATTTGTTGGAATTTGACACATAATTGTGGTCCTACTGAATCTTTTTCTTTTGGCCAAATTTTTTGTGCCACTTTTGATGTTTTTATGGCCGAAATGTTTCCATGGCCAAATTTTGGTGCATCCCTTATTTATTACAAAAGTTCACCCATATTTGTTTATTAAATTTATAACATCTATATTTATAAAGTCAGGTAACTGTACTGAAGGGGCAGATTTCAGGTTTGTTCGTTTCCTCACTGTGTGTGTGTGAAGCCGTGCTTTATGGCTCTGGTCATAACTGCTTCAAAAAACGTTCTGAGCCCCCAGAAAAAGAGCTCTTTTTGCACTTTCGTACTTTGTACTTTTCACTGGGATGTTTTAGTCAGTAAAGCTTTTCCACCACTTTAAGTATGCTTAAATGCTAGTCGGCTTTCTCCTTGACCCACCGTGAGCTTTTGCCTTAGCAGCTCCTGTAGCATCTGCGTATAGCCTGAAGCAGAACACGAATGTGTAATACATAGAAAAAAGATTTGAGGTAAGTGTAGCTGATTGATGGGTTAAATTGTGTATTGTTTTGTGAGCCAGGCTCAGTTAGAGGAGCAGGAAGCCCAGAAGGGGTGTCTCTGTCTGGGGTCTTTTATGCTCCTCTGCCTTCTCATCTCCCCAGCACCCTGAATAACAGAGTAGGTCATCTGCCAATCAAATGCCATTCGTGGTGTCAGGGGGCGTTAATCATCCTGACATTATCGGCTCTGCAATCGGCTGCATGCCCCAGGGACAGTAGACCAGTGGGCCTCATGTCGAATAAAGACCAAATACAGATTTGTTATAAACACAAATTCACACAAGCATCCAGTCAGTTGTCGGTGTCTTGAAGATACTGGCTCTCACACACACACACACACACACACACACACACACACACACACACACACACACACACACAGAGTGCTGTCAGTTTGTATTTGTGGAAACGCTGGCCTCAGTGTTATTCCCCTGGCTGGCCATAATAGCTTACAGTGCCCTAGAGGGAGAGCTTTTCTTCAGCTGGGTTTCAGTTCAGATACAAAGATGCATTGTTTTGGTTTGTGTTTGGCATGCACAATTTTGTAATGCATTAGCCTTTGATTAGCAATTGCATCAGTGCTTCAAAAGCTTGTTCATTGAAACCTGAACAAAAGCTATGCCCAGGACCCTTTGTGTGCATAAGAAATACCAAGGCATGACTACAGCAAAACATAGTCACATATATCAAAGTTGTCGGAACAAAACCTTGTATCTCCATTTTTGTTGTTTTTCAGTTTTTGACCTAAACAGTAAATTTCATAATGAAAGGACCAAGAGAAATGGCCCAACATTGCAGGGGAAGAGTGGTTACATTGACATTGACATTAAAAGTGAAGTATGTTTTTTCCTTCTCCTGTAAAGTTATCATTTTGGAAATACGAGGTTTTGTTCTGACAGCAGTGATGTGTGTGTGTGTGTGTGTGTGTGTGTGTGTGTGTGTGTGTGTGTGTGTGTGTGTGTGTGTGTGTGTGTGTGTGATAATCCACTTGGGAAAGTCAAAGTGAAAAACAAAACCAGGAGTTTCCAAAACTGGAGTTTAAAAAAATAATTAAAAGCTACACAGAAAATGAGACTCCTAACAAACATGTGAACCTGTCCCCCAACAGCACTTAAAGCTTTAATCTTTGGGAGAGAGGAGAAAATCAAGCTCCACTCCAGACCTCAACATCACTGAGTATGTTTGAGCTTACTAGCAAAAAAGTAACCAACTTCTAAGACTGAACTTTGGAGGTGTCCAGAAATGTTCCTGCAGATTTCTTTAAAACTGAAAATGAATCTCCTGAAAAGAATGGAATCTGTAGTGAACACACTAAATACTAAAAATTTGATTATTATAATATTATATTTAGTTGTCGAGGCTTCCCTTCTGCTACAAAATAAATAACTTGTACTTAATGGCCATTTTTCCTAGATATTAAATAAATAAAGGTTGGCTTCTGACTTTTGCACAGTACTGTATTAGCAGAGCGGTTCTTCAAAGTTAGGAGGATGAGCTGTCTTAGGACTAGCTTTAGTTTTCCAGCTGGAGAGCATAGTAAACATACTGCCACGATTATGGGTGGGGATGTGTCAATGTAAAGGCTTCTGTTGTTAAACAGGCTAGACTGGCTGGTCAGTTTTGTTATTGGATGCCTGTGCAAATAACAACTACCAGAATGTACCTTGTGTACTGTACTATACCCTCCAAGTTAATAAGCTGTGACATTGTTAGAGAGCCTGCAGAATTATTAAAAGTATGACCATTGATTTGCATCAGTCTGTTTCAGTGACTTTTTCCTCTCACTAATGATTATTTTTTCTTTCTATCTGTTTCAGGAAATAGTTGATAAAGATGGTCAAAGCAGAGTATTGTCTTTCACCGTCCCCTCCTTATCCAAGCCATCAGTATACCATGAGGTGTGTTCAGGGACTGTTTATTCCTTATCTCTGTATGTTTCCAGTTATGTCATGCGAGAACTATTCTAGTAATTTCCATTGCTGTGTTCCATTCTTTAGCCCTCTGCGATTGGTTCAATGGCCTTAACTGAAGGAGCTCTGGCCAATCACGGGCTGAGCCGAGTTGTTTACAGTGGACCCCACCTCCAGAGAGAGACGTTTACGGCACAGAACAGGTGTGGCTGCTCATCAAACATTCAGCGTTTTCACTGAACGCTTTCATTTGTGCCATCTATTATTAATGCATCTTTGAGGATTGTTTATGCAGGCTTTAGACCACAGGTTCCCAACCCTGGTCCTAGAGTAGCTCTGCCTTGCTCATTTTGCGTTTTCCTGCTTTAACACATCCACTTCAAGTGAAGAAGGGCTTGTTAATGAGCTGATTAGATGGATCAGGTGTGTTAGAGCAGGGAAAACGCTAATGTGCAGGGCAAGTGTGTATGTGTGGGGTCTCTTGTCTTTGCAGCCTTTAATTAGCAGGTTATCATGTATGATTTGGATGAATGAATGTATTGTCAGATAAAACATTGATGCTGTACCACTGTGGGAGCCTGATGGGTGTTTTGTTCTGTCCCAGGTTTGAAGTGCTGACGTTTCTGCTGCTCTGCTACAATGCTGCTGTAAGCTACATGACCAGCTCTTCCCTCCAGTCTCTCTGTCAGCTGAGCTCCAGGTTAGACGCCCTGAAGGGCTGCATGATGTGGACAAAACACAATATTACAATTATATTGTTACATTCTGTGACAGCAGTTAGGTCACAACCTTTTTAAGATAATGGTCAGTTACTATTCAAATAATTGCGATTATGAGTCTTTTTTTGTTCATTGTATGCAATGTATTGTATTAGTGTACACCTCTAAAGTGATCGACTGATTAGCCATCTTCCTTGCTGTTGACATTTAGTCGCTCCCAACTGACGACAGAAATGTCTCAAGTTTAAATACATATCAGATGTTGAAACTGAGAAATTTTATTGGTTTTTGAAAAATGTATGTCCAATTTGAATTTGATGCCAGCAATATGTTACAAATAAGTGAGGAAGGGGGCATGTTTACCACTGTGTTTCATCACCTCTTCTTTCAACAACACTCTGTAAGCGAACTGAGGAGATCAATTTGCTGTAGTTTTGAAATGAAGATGTTTTCACATTTTTGCTTGATGTAGGATTTCAGCCGCTCAACTGTTCGGGGTCTCCTTTGTCATATTTTTTTGTTTTCGTATTGCGCCAAATGTTTTCAGTGGGTGACAGGTCTGGACTGCAGGCAGGCCAGTTTAGCATCCGGACTCTTTCACTACAGAGCCAGGCTGTTGTAATACGTACAGAATGTGGTTTAGCATTGTCTTGCTGAAATAAGCAAGGCCTTCACTGAAAAAGACGCTGTCTGGATGGCAACATATGTTGCTCCAAACCCTGTATATAACGCTTAGCATTAATGGTGCTTTCAAAGATGTCCAATCACGCATGCCATGTGCAATAATGCACCCCCAAACCATCACGGCTGCTGGCTTTTGAACTGTGCACTTTAGCCCGGAGGACGCGGTGTCCATAATTTCCAAAAAAAAATTCAAATTTTGATTCCTTGGACCACAGGGCATTTTTTTCGCTTTGCCTCAGTCCATCTTAAACGAGCTTGGGCCCAGAGAAGGCGACAGTGTTTCTAGATCCTGTTTTATATATATATATATATATATATATATATATATATATATATATATATATATATATATATATATATATATATATATATATATATATATATATAGTTTCTTCTTCGTATGATAGTTTTAACTTGTGTCTGTGGATGCAGTGACGAACTGTGTTCACAAACATTGACTTTTGGAAGTGTTTCAGAGCCCCATGCAGTGACTTCCACTACAGAATCGTATCTATTTTTAATGCAGTGTTGTCTGAGGGGCTGAGGATCACAGCCAGCCAGAATTAGTTTTTAGCCTTGTCCCTTACATACAGAGATTTCTTAGGATTCTCGGAATCTTTTAATGATATGTATCGTAGATGATGAAATCCCCAAGTTCTTTTCTATTTTATATTGTGAATTGTTGTTCTTAAATTGTTGCACTGTTTGCCCATGCAGTCTTTCACAGAGTGGTGAGCCCCCCCAGTTTTGTTTCTGCTTTAATTTTTGTTTCTGCGTTCATGACATCATCATTGTGATATCAACTAGCAAAAAGTAAGCAGTTCCAAGTCGCACAATGTAATGACTAATGTAAGCCTATGGCTAATTGAAGATCAAAACAAGCAAGAAAAAACTCCCTACTTTCCTCTTTCCTTATTGATGTAGACGTTTTCCAAAACCAGCCAATGAGCAAAAGCTATTTGTGCAATATGTAAGTGTATTTCCCATGTTTGGCTCCAGCACTTTTGCTACCTTGCCCATTGTTCCACAGTTAGGCCCAGAGAGGTGCTGGCACAGCTAAAGCCTTTCCCTCCTATCCCTTCTGATCCTCTTAAAGACTTGAACCTTGGAATAGCTCCAAGCCTCCTGCCTGGCCCCATGAGCCAGCGCAGGGCCTGCTATTGGTCTTTTCCCACCCTGATTACAACAGCTTAATCGGCATTGCACAGCTGAGCAGCAAGCGCGTTGAACCCTGAGCAATCAGAGCCACTGAATACAGTAGCTACAGAGAGCACAAATCACCACACACTGCAGTGCTCAGACACAATACTGAGCCGGCCAAAGTTCCTTCTAAATCTCCTTTGTGAAGTCCGATAATGGGGGACACATGACTTCTCTGCAATGAATAGAACTTATGTGCCTCACCATACAGGTGAAAAAGTGAAAGTTTGACAGGAAATAGGAAAGCAAAAAAAATCAGGAATCTGACTAAAACCATTTTGACTAAATTCCATTATCCTGTTTATACTCATTATATAGGTTTAAATAGTTAGTTATGCTCTGAGGCATATTCATTATGGGTTTCGTTATGGGTCTTAGCCTTTTTATACCAGCCACGGTAACCAAGCAATACACGATTTTGTTAATCAGTGTCTCCTTTTATTCCGGTAACGCACACAAACCAAAGTTGAGGAATATGTTTGGAGTCTATTTTTGCCGCTTGCCATGTGTGCTATGATAAATTGTTGCTAGAAACAGTACACCGTTCTGTATCCTTGCTCTATATAAAATAATTAAAACAGCAAAGAGCTGTATTTGGAGTTGTAGCAGCTGTATTGCCCAAGCACAAACAAGAATGTTCTAGAAATTGTTGGGCTAATTCACAAATTGACCAGTTAACCAGTTACTTGCTGTGCGCGCTGCATTGCTTCTGGTGTAAAAATGTCACTACACCACAGTATTGGCTTTGATGTGGTATCAAATAAGGACCTAAATAAAGGGAACTTCATTCACTATGTTCATAGCATGATGTCATGTATGCTACAGAATAAAACTTATCTCTGTAGTGCTGGCCTAATTAAATAAAGAACAGTAAATATAACACTTTGGAAACATAATACTATATAAATAGGTTATATTTGTTTACCATGTTGTTTTACCATGTTGTTGTAGCATTGTTTAAGTCAAGTGATGAGAACCTGCTAAATTTGGAACTACAAATATGATGTGCATGAATGCATAAGATTTTGGATGTCATGCTATGTACTGACTCGTGTTGTATTTTGCCTTCTCAGAGTCTGTATCTGTGGCTATCCAAGGCAGCAGGTGCGGAGGTACAAAGGCATCAACAGCAGAATGATGGTGACGTCAGAGTTTCTTGTCCAGTTGATCACAGGCATCCACTTTGCTCTGTGAGTGAGAGCTCAACCAGTTTGGATTTCTGTTTCTGCATGATTCCGACAATGCCAGCGACTAGCATGTGAAAATTGTTGAAAATGTTTATTGAGGCTAAAGTAAATGTAAATTAATTCCATATATTAACCATTCACCATTAGCAGAATCCCAATCATATCTTGATTCTTAAGGTGAACCAGCATGATCATTCCTTTGTGCCTGTGTTACAGATCATTTGTTGTTTTAAACGAAAGTATGTAAACTACACCTCGTGAATCAGTTAAATCGAGAACGATACGGTGTATAAATATACAAGCTGCTAATTTGTCTAGTGGAGTAGTCAAATGTGTTGCATGCAACTTTTGATTTTGAATTGCTGTTTGCAATGGAAATTTGGTTCCAACATAGAACTAATTGTGTGAAGATTTCACCATGTAAAGCCATCTGAAATTAGACTATCAGTCTTGTTTAGCTGTCATTAATTTTAAGATTATTTTCTTTTTAGTCCTGTCTCTGTCTTGTACGTTCTTCCCTGCTTTCTGTTTTGCCTCTGTCGCATCCTTATCCCTCTCTCCCCTTGTGTTTACTGCAGGTGTAATGGAGAGTCAGAGCTGGGCTCCAAAGCTCTGGATGACGTGCTGTATCGAGCCCAGCTGGAGCTCTACCCAGAAGCCCTGCTGGTAGGATCACTCCCTTCCTCATATGAAGGAATTATGCAGATGTACCCAATTCCTGCTAATTATGCACATTTTTTTAATACATTCTTTTGCTGCTCTAATCCACGGTGCCTTGCAGACCTTTTTTGCAAAGGTTATTAGAAGGCAAGTGCATGGCTTGCTTATCTGTGATATTGTGTGTTTAGTCTTATGTTATCAAATGCGTTCACTCTTGGTATTTGTATTATTGGTTTAGTTTGTTTTGGCACGTTGCACTGCAGCCCAGCCTTTCTAAAGGTCATTTATGTGCTGTTTGGGATGTGAGATTTTAGTATCGTATGTATGTTTTTTCTGTGTGCAAATCTCTTAGGTGGGAAACGCCATCAAGTCCTCACTCCGCGGAGCTGCTCTGAAGTCAAACAAGGAAGGGACGCGGTCCATCCAGGTTGAGATCACGCCCACGTCCTCCAGGATCTCCCGGAACGCAGTCACCAGTCTTTCCATCCGCGGGCACCGTTGGAAACGGCATGGTGAGGAGGAACCTGCGCCAGCGTGCTGTCTTACAGCAACCGTGGCTGTTACCACGGCAGCAGTGCTGCTCCCTGTGCAGTTTTCAGATACATTTGCCAATTTGTCCCTGATCACGTGCATTCAGGGGTTTCCGGGCCACAGCTTCTCCAGTAGAGCCCACCTTATAGATCACAAACCGTGCCAATGAGAGTCTGTTCGGCTGGTTTAAAAGGACAGAGCAGTCCATTCTGTCTTTCTATCATGTATCACAGACATCCCATTTGCATTCCCATTTCCATATCGATGCCTCATTTTATTCTATGATAGTTGTATCATTATTTGCAGTTGTCTGGCTAGTTGCACACAGTGAATTGGCATTACAATCGATTGCAGCTGTATCTGTGTGCTGTGCGGCGATAGTATGTGGTACAGGCAGCTGGCATATTCAAGCCTGACAGCCATTAGGGCCTGTCTTCATGTCCCCAGCAAAACATTCCACTAATTACAGCTCTGTACTGGTTCTCAGCTGCCCTGCTTTAATTAGGGCATGTCCCACAGAAAGCACCAATTAAGCACAGCATGCAGCCCTTTATTTCTTTACTTTTAAGTTTAAACTTTGTGCTGGAAATGGCTAAAGATTTTGAGCAGTGAATCATGGTGTGAGTGTTTGCATAATAATTACGTAGCAATTCAGAAAGTGAAAAACAAGTTGACTTAAATGCCTACCTTACATTTCAAAATGTCACTTAGACTATTAATTCTCCTTTAACTTGAGCCACAGTAATTGCTGTTCAGGTTTATAAGAGCTCCCAGTGCCATTCGTTTTCCATTTTCACCCTTTTTTTGTATATGATTTCTGTTGAATACATATTATTTTTCTGTTTGTAAATGAGGTTTTATTTCATTATCATTTCAACCATCGTATGTCTGTGTGTTTGTGTATCTCATGCGCATGTATATATGTGACTGTCATCCTCCTTCAGAGTCTCAGGAGAACAGTGTAGACTCTCCGGACTCGACTCCGGTCGGGCCCATCCCCTCCATTAGTGTTACAGGGGTGAGCGGCGAGCGGGTGGCCAACGGAGAGGCGCTGCGTAGCCGGACGGAGGGCGAGACGCTGGGGGGCACGACTGAGGTGGGGGTGGACCCTAGAGGTCAAGAGGTCAGGAGACAGAAGTCTGTGCGGAGGCACCTGGAGGACGGGACGCCCTCCGCGGGGAGGGTCCAGTTCTAGAGCCCCTCCCCCCTCCACACACACTGCGACCTGAAAACCCCCTCACCCCTCCCCTCTCCCCTTGGGCCCAGAGGTACTACGTGTGGGGCATGGGACAGAGTTTTGGTTGTTTTTTTTTTTATTTGGCAATGATGGAAACTTTCCCATTTTGTATACTTTGGCTTGGCATGATGAAGTGTGCCTGCAGATACTGCAAGGAAATGAAAAATAACTTAATAAGAACTTAATGAGGACAAAGCAGAGCTGGGTTATATTTTTTATATCACTTGCTATCAGTAATTATGTGCATAACTTAATACTCAGTATTAAGTCTGAACAGTACAGTACAAAAGTCAGAGATCACTCTTTCATTCTTGTATCATTTGTTTTATTTCCAGCCATTACAAGTTATTCATTTTCCAGTGTCAGGAAAAACAGAAACACACAGAAAATTCCAGGAATATATATATTTGTCAGTATTTAGTGTGTGAACCCTTTTCCTTTTATTACGTCTTCTGTTCTTTCCAGGAGACGTACTTTCAGCACTACTGCATTTTTACAGAAATCCGCAGGGATGTTTTTCTAGAATATCCAAAGTTCCGTCTTAGTAGTTGGTTACTTTTCACGATCCTAATTACAAACATACACACTTCAGTCCATTAAACCTTATCCCACCTCTTAGATGTCCAGTTTCGGTGTTTTGCTGCAAAAAGTCCTCTTTTTTTGTTTATTTCCTTTTCTTAGTAAAGGCTTCTTGACAGCTACACACCGTTTCATTGTTTTGTTTTTGGAAACTCCCGTTATAAACTCCCGTTAATAATACATCTTGAATCGAAATATCTCCTTGTTTTGACTGGAAAAATAAATACATGAAGGGTGGTCTCTGATTTCCATAGCACTGTATTTTGAACGCTGATGAAAACAAAAGGTTTATTCTAGGTTTATTGTTCAGTGTTGCATCTGATTTAAGACAGTTCAGCCAGTTTCACATTGCAGAGGACAGACCTTACTTGTGTTTTGAGACGTTTCCCCAAATAACTTCAGTCTCACGTAGTGAGTAAAAGGCACATATCACCACTTAGTGTACCAAACAGCAGCTGCTCAAAGTTTAAGCCTTTGCTGTTACCGGATTGAGAAACAGAACAGCATCAAAAATGAATGGCTTGAATGTTACTCCAGCTTGAACTGCTGAGATATACATTGTTTTCACATATTTCAGTATAAAACCTCTAAGACTTAATACACTGCATCTATTGAATTTAACTACGCTTGTTTTAAAGTTAAGGTAAGGTTTCCTTTTGATTTCCTTGTGAGTATCAAGGCATGCTTGGCTGTGTCAGGACTTTTGCTTTGGATGCTGCGGATGTTCTCCTAAAATTTTTTCCCTAAACTTTGCACTGTACCCTGCATCTACTTTTTAATCATTTCAGCACGATACTAGTCCTCTGCACTCTGTTTCTGTTGCTCCATCTCTACAGTGGATTGCTGTGGTTTACTCAGCTAAGCTACTAGAGCCAGCTAACAATTTTCCAAATTACAGAACAGTTAGGTCCCTCGCTTCAGTGCCAACAGAAGAAAAAGTCCTTATGAAATATAATCTGCTGCCGCGCTTCGAGCTCCAACACTTAACTGCTGGGTTGCTATGGGAAACAGTCATTCTGTAGACTGGTTGTAATAACAGAGGCAGATCGGCAGCTCTAGATGAGCTTGCAGCAGCTTATTTCCAAGTTGTCTATTTCGAACATAAGCAGATCTGGAGTAATTTGATCAGTAACCGTGTTCACATCTCATATCTAGCCATATCTGATGGCTGCTCTTGCCTAGCTGCCTATCTGTCCTCTGTCTGGAGTGATCTGATGGATTGGCCTGGTTTGTGATGTGCTTTGCTCCTTCCCTTTCACTTGCCATCCTTCTATCCCAATGTGCTCTGGTAAGGTGGTGCTAGTTAAATCTTGAACTGCTCAGTTTTTAAGTTAGTCATGTATCTTCCAGAATATAATCATTTATTTATTAGTTGTAAGTTATAGTTTTATATTGCATTGCTATGTGGGGAATGGGTAGCTCAGTAATTGATCACTTTAGGGTTGGTTTCGAACATATCAATTAATTTGTTCTGTGTTATGGTTCCATGATTAGTTATGGGGAAGTCCTATTAGTAATTGGTAGGGATGCACTGAAATGTAGAATTTTCGCTTCAAATTTTTGGACAAAAATGCCTCAGAATGACACTTGAAATAGCCCATACTGTTGTGCGCTAAAGTTTGAGTCCCCCCAGTTAATACAGCCTTTACAGAGAACATACTAACGTTTTTGTTCTGCAAATTTTAGCCCACAGTTTTGCTTTATGTGCTGACTTTAATGTGTTGGAAAATCTAAAAAAAATATAAAAGGTGCCATAACCTTCGTACAGGTCACATTTTATGTTTACTATTTCCTCATTATGTTAAATTCAGCATATAAAAGTAATTGTGCATTAAAATGTGGAGAGGTATGCTCTCTGTACAGGATGTGTTAACTTATTTTTATTTAGAAAATCAGCAAAACATGATTTGACCAGGGGTGCCTGAGCTTTTGCACATCAAGGTGTCATTATTACAGTTTATTTCAGTGGTAATGCAGAATAGTGGTTTAAAAGTCCTTTGCTGTCCTGCACCAGTCATCACTGATGTAATCAAACTGCTTTGTTTGTTGTAGGTAATGTCCTATTGAAAGGACTGAGTTTTGAATAATAAATGTAAAAAATCCTTATAGTTCATTGAATCAGTTTTCATACAACAGTATGCATTCATACAATTTAGGCAACAGTAGAAAACTATAAAAGACACCTAAAAAAGTGGGGTGGAGTTTTAAGTTTTGTTTTTCAGCCATGTATTTTAGTTTCAGTGCATCACTAGTAATTAAAACACAAAGTGTGTATATAAACTGCAGCAACTGACTCCTTCCTCCCTCGCAGACGCAGTGGATCTGGGTTCCCCGGACGAGCTGATGGAGATCTCCGAGGTGGACGAGGGCATCTGCACACAGCCCGGCGCTCAGGGGGGCAGCCCTCCCACCATCGTGGTCAGCAACGCCACCACGGCTGTTAGCGGGAAGCTAATGGGGAAGGGCCTGCGCCGGCTGGGGGGCAGCCGATCCAGCAAAGAGAAGGAGAAAGAGAAGGAGGGGGGGGCGGATCAGCCCTCACGGAAGCAGTCGGGCAACCGGGCCATGAGTGAGAACCTGGAGCTGCTGTCCCTCAAGCGCCTCACGCTAACGTCCAGCCAGTCCGTGCCAAAGGCAGGCACGTTGAGCCTGTCCCGCACGGCCAGCGCAGTCTTCTCACGCTCCTTTGAGCAGGTCAGCAACGCCCTGGCTGCAGCCGCTGGCACCCAGCAGCAACCGGTGCCCCCCAACCCGGCGGCGAGTCCCACCCCCAACCACCACCACATCTCCAGGGAGAACCGTTACTCTGCCTGCAGCCTGCAGGAGGAGCATCTGAGCCCCACCCAGCACCATCAGCAACAGCAGCGTTCACCCAGCATCAGCCTGCACCTCGCCCCAGACATGTGACCCTGCCCACCTGACAGTAACACCTCCCCCCAGGTTCTGTAGAACGTGTGGAATTGGTGGATTGGTGACGATACTGAAAGTCCTGAAAGCCCTGCCCCAGCTGCAGTGGACCTTTAGCCATAATCTGAAGAGAAACGACTCGCGGTTCATTTCTATTAAAAAGCCACTTTTTGAGGCTGCTGAAGAGAAAGAAGGTCCTAGCACTCCTGCCCCCTGGTGGCACTGAACCAAAACTGTTGCACCTTAAAATAAAAAATAAAAGTCTGTTTTTTATTTTTGTGGATTTCGTCAATGGCGTGTTAATCACTAAAATGTTCTTTTAAAAAGTGTATTTTTGAAGTAAGTGTATAAAAAAACACAAAAACAAAACTCCCTTTTACCCCATTTGTACTTCAAGTTGTCTGTGAACTTTTTAATGCTATCGACTCGGTACTGAGGATTGTATGTCAAGTTGTTAAAGGTATTTTTGATGCTGTATTGATTCGTGTGAGGCTGCGCTCAAGTAGCTTTTCAAATAGGGTGTTGATCTTGTGCAAACATGATTTGTGGTTTTTTTTTTGTTTGTTTATTTGTTTGTTTTGTTTTTGTTTGTTTTTTTAAAGAAAGAGCACAACTTTGGAGAATATCCTCCCCCCCCTTTTTATGAACTGAGCTTTGATGAAAGCCATCAACATTACTACTAACACTTCTGACATCATGGCAATAGATGTGCGGTTTGCGTCCCCAGTCAAGTCCCAGATTAATAGCTGGTAGAAATAGAGACTCGGATACAAAACTTTGTTTACATCAAGTCGTTCATGTTGTATTTCTGAAGCAATATTGTTCTTTTGACAGCAGATCTGAAGGCCCGTCTCACGAAGCATGTTCAGCTGCATTTTAATTTCATAGAACCATAACAGCGAAAGTGGTTAACAACATCCTCTGTTAGCCCAGGTTTAGACACTCGGGCTGTGATTAATCTTCATACACGTGCGTATGAAAACAGCCAGTCACGTGAAGCATGACAAGGCGTTGGCTCATTTTTGAAAGAAAGGAAATTATATGTTGATGAATATGTAGAAAGTAGTGAAAAAAAACGCTGTGACCACTTGTGCATTAGTGCTTATCGGACTAATAATTGCTTTATATTCTTGTGTTTATATTTTTATGTTCTATCTATGTAGTATGATTTGCTTCCTCTGTTAAAAAGTGTTGTGATGTCATGAAGTAATTAAAATACCAGAGGAGTCCATCTCCGCCAATCATGAGCTTTTTATGATCTGAAATCCTGAACTTAACCTGTCATTGAGCAGGTCAGGCGAGCAGCATAGGTTGACACAATGATGTAGGCCAGAAAGTGATCCGTTGTCATGAAAGTCCTGGGTTACACTGAGCTAAACCTAGCTGGCTAAGCATGAAATCCTGCTTTGTGAGAGGGACTCTTTTACATCTGTTTGGTAAACAACTTTTGATAGCAAGTCCTCTACGCTGTATAAACGGTATTGCCCCCATGACAGCAGAATGCAGTATTTACATGATTCAGAACCAGTGTGATGAAAGGTTGGTGTTACAGCCACAAACAAACAAACAGGAAAAGAAATCCTGCTGTCACACTATATGATGTGATCTATTTGAAAGAGGATCCAGTGTGGTCCACTTTGCTCTCGGTCACTAATTTACATTTTTTTTTCTTTTAAATTAGCAACTCTGACGAAACACTGTGGTAGTGTACCGAACTATTGTCTATTTCAGGATCACTTTTGTTTTAGAATAAATATCTGGTTAAAAATGGTTGGTGCTTTATTTATTTATTTTTTATTCCTAAATCTGAACAGTAATAATTATGTGTGTATGTTTTACAAAGTATGAAACTGTGCATTTTGTCTTTTTGCCTTTTGTCACAAAGCAACATTGATAGAACTTCTTGGACAATAAAAGTGACTATATTTGAGTTAACTTCTGCAAATTTGTACAGGGAACCTTCACCGACTTGCTCCTGTTTTTGCCCTTAAAAATTAGATTTACAGTTTTTTTTTTCCTTTCTCTAAATGTAGTCAATCAGCCAAGACATGTTTGGTGTCTGAGATTTACTTCTTTAGGCTTGCATTGGAGCTATGAGGCTAATGTAGCTTATAGATCCACTCATTAGCATTGTGCTAACGGCATTCCTAAATCATCACACACTTGGCTCAAAATGAGTTGTAAAGTAGAGATTCCACCAATCAGATACCAGGTTTTGGCATCAGGCTGATATCAGAAGAAAAGCATTGAGGTTTTAAATGTGTTTCGTGTACAGATCCAATCCTATAATCTAAGGCAGGGGTGCCCAATCCTGGTCCTGGAGATCTACCACACTTCAAAGTTTAGCGCCAACCCTAATTTAACACACCTGAACCAGCTAATGACGGTCTTTAGGGGCATCTGAACGTTAGAGCCACGTGAGCTGAATTTTAACTCTCCAGGGTGGTAGATCTTCAAGACCAGGATTAGGACCTGGGGGTCAGCAGCCCTGTTGCAGAGCAGCAATACTAACTCTGTCATCTATAAGTTGTATACTTAGTCATGTCTGCCCGATTCTCCATTTACCCCAGACGTAGTCGACTGGGCAAGACATGTCTGAAGCTCAGATGTTGCTCCTTTAGAACAGGAGCTATGAGGCTAATGTTGCTAACAAACACTAGAACTCAATAGTCACCCAAATAGCCCAAATCATTTCTGTATAGAACATCCCCAAAACTTCTCTCAAACCGCTCCAGGACTGATCTCAGATCAGATTCCTCTGTATTTATGATAGTCAGTGTCACAAATGGTGATTCTGCATCAGCACTTCTGTTCCTGAATACAGTTCTGTTCATTTTTATAGTTCATATTAAGTTGTACTGTGTCCTAAAACACGGTAACAGGTTTGCAGGACTGTAATGAACAGCTGGATGTGGTTTGAGAGAAGTTATGATGTAGTTTTACAGAAAAGATTGGGGTGACTATAGAGTTCTAGTGTTGGTGAGCCACGTTAGCTCTAAACTAAAGAAGCAACATTTGCACTCCTTGATAATCGACTACATCTGGGGTCAGTGGAGAATTGTGTAAATTAGAATTTTTTGCTGAACTACTCCTTTTAAGCATTCCTGTCTAGTAGCTATCTAACAGTCAGCAAATGATCCAATGTGCTGTATTTGTACCTATTCAAAAGGTGGTTTATTTATCAACATCAGAGACAAGGAGATTGAAGCAGTGACCACACATCCCAAGGACAGCTCCTCTGTTCGCATATTAAACACTAGGAACATGCAGCGAAAAAAGTCATCAGACAACGAAATGGACCTCTGATCTTGCGTTCATTCATTCGTCTTCTAAGGTCAGAGGGGGGGTGCTTGAGCCTATCCCAGTGGTCATTGGGTGCAAGGCAGGAAACACCCTGGACAGGCTGCTAGTACATCGCAGGGCAGACACACAGACATACACCTTCTCTCATCCACCTAGGGGCAGTTTAGCATCTCCAATTCGCCTGACCATGTCTTTGGACTGTGGGAGGAAACCCACACAGACACTTGGAGACCATGCAAACTCCACACAGAAAGGACCCTGGTTACCCGGTCAGGGAATTGAACCCAGGCCCTTCTTGGTGTGAGACTGTGCTGCCCTTCAGATCTTGCAGAGCTAAACAATGGTAGTTTGTTGAATATAGTGAACTGAAACACACTTTTTTTTTTATGTGAAATGCATTTCAATTACATTGTTTCATTTCACAATGTTTCCCAAACACTAAAGCACATTGAACCAAAACATTTTTGGCAATTTTCTTACATTTCCAAATATATGATATGTGATGAGTAGCACCTTCAAACAGGGGTGTAAAACTGTATTGATACATTGTGACTTATCAGTTGAAACAAAACGGTTTAATGATTGTAGAATCAATTATAATATTCAGAAATGTATAAACCTCAACGCTACCCACCCCAAAAAACCTTGTTTTTATTTTTTTTGACATATTATTTACTATTGAGTAAATATTTACTCCAATCACATTTTCTTATAGTGCATCTTTAAAAAAATATTTGAGAATTACATGATGCACTGACTCATTTAAGAGTCACAATCGAGTCATGGGAAGGTCAGATATTTACAACAATACTTTTAAAAGAGATGACCACAGACTTTAATGCTAAAGTTTATCTTAAATGTGCATAAATCATTCCATACAATCACCGTCAATCCCCAGTCCATAATCAGAGAAAACAAACCAAAATATGGTGCAAAATGTGTAGGTAAAAAAAAAAGTACACAACAGGTAGTAGTGGATTTTTTTTTTATTATTATCTGCATAATTCGTATGTTGAGAAGTAAACAGCCATTGAGAGTGGTTTGATGTGAAATGGTTCGTCGTAGAGAAACGTACATGTTCAGATTTCTTTACAGTGGTGCTGATAGGAACCAGGGGTCACAATGTCTACAACACAAGTATAGACATTTTATTTATTACTTAAAAGCGCCAGTGAACCTACACATGCATTCTGAGTTTTTATATGTAATGTTTATAACAGTAAAATATAGTTTTCTTTAGGGACTATTTTACCGTACAACATCCTGCATGTACGTCTCCTCCATGTACAGCTTTTTAAAAAAATACGTTTTAGGCCAAAAACATTTTGGGGCGGTCATGAGCTGACAGGACATGACTGAAGTGTCCTTGAGCAAGACACCTAACCCTCAACTGCTCCCCAGGTGCCGTGGATAGGGCTGCCCACCTCTCTGGGCAAGTGTGCTCACTGCCCACTAGTGTGTGTGTTCACTAGTGTGTATGTGGGTGTTTCACTGCACAGATGGGTTAAATGCGGAGGTGAAACTTCCCTGTTGTGGGATTAATAAAGGGTAAAAAAAAAAAAAAACTTCTTGTAAAACTTTTGTTTTACAGTGTTTCAGACATCAGCTTATGTATTCATAACCTTTTACCATTTCATATAAAGCTTTCAGTGAGGGAGCTTAAAGGCATGGCATTGAAGATGTCTGGTTCCTATCACCACCACTGCTGTGAAAAAGTCTGACTCTGTAAGTTTCTCTAGAACAGAGCATTTCGCACCAAACCACCCTGAATGACTTTATTTACATCTTAACGATAGAATGATGCAAACATTATGAAAAATAGGTGGAGTTCCCCTTTAGGCCTGTTACAAGTGTTGCAATAATGTGAGAAAAATAGTACAGTCTAATCCACCATTCTCTTCAGCCAGCGGTGAAGATTCCCAGAAAAGGTGATGCCATCTAGTGTTAAAAAATGGCCAGTACGACCAGATCCAGATTCAGGAAGAGTTTTAGGGGTTCAAAGAAAAATAAAGACATAGCAAAGACTGAACAGACCAAAGAATCTATAATCTATATGATTTCATTAGTAATACTTACTTCCACATGCACATACGTATATCGCTGCTGTCGGAAGAAAACCTTGTATGTCCATTTTTGTCGCTTTTCAGTTTTTCACATAATTTGAAAGAACCTGCCCTTCACATTGTATGTACATTTCATGATGAACGGGCTAAAATAAACGGCCCGAAATTACTTGGAAAAATGTCTGGTTCCATTGACTTACATTAAAAGTAAAGAAGGTTTTTTCCTTCTCCTGAAAAGTTACCTTTTTGGAGATACAAAGTTTTGTTCCGACAACAGCGATATGTGAGTGACAGTCCGGCAAAATGTCAGATTTACCCAGTTTAATGTCAATTTTCTCCAGTTTAATAGATTAGAGTAAGTCTTGGTGTCAATTCCATCGATTTTTCAACATTACTGCACAGTTCAAGTACTGAGAGGTAAACAAAGTCATTCACAGTGGTTTAATGTGAAATTGAATGTAAGTGGATCAGACACAGCACACTCCACTCACTGTCCACTCTATTAGACACACTTAGTTTGTGGGTCCAGCATGTAGACGTAAAGTCAGAGACAGTAGTTCAGCTGTTGCGGCACAGTGTGTGTTGGTCATCCTCTAGTCCAGGGTGTCAGAGTCATCCAGTAAAAGGGCCGTATTAAAAAGCCTCTACAAATCTGTGGGCCAGAGAACGTCTGTGTTTTTATTTGATTGTTAAATAACATTTTGCTGTAACCTGAGCTGGTCATCGTTCATTCAAAATACACCAAAACACCAACATCAAAATATTAAATAAATATATGAATAGGCTACAGTACACAACACTATGCATATTACCATAGGCTACATTACATTACGCACATTAAGCTGCAGTGCATGCTGGGGATTGTTTACATTTACGGCATTTGGCAGACACTCTTCTCCAGAGCGACTTACAATTTGATCATTTTACACAGGTAGGCAACGGCAGTGTTAGGAGTCTTGCCCAAGGGCTCTTACTGGTATAGTGTAGGGTGCTTCTCCAAGCAGGGGACTGAACCCCAGTCTATAGGGTAGAAGGCAGAGGTGTTACCCACCACACTACACCAACCATTACAGGATTGTAGTACAGCGCATTGTGAAACGGGCTAATATTAATAGAAAATGAAAATAATTTTGCAGGCGTTGAAAAAATGCAGCAGCACTGCTGTGTCTGATCCACTCGTACCAGCGCAACACACACTAACACACCACCATGTTAGTGTCACTGCAGCTGAGAATGATTCACCACCCAAATAACACCTGCTCTGTGGTGGTCCTGTGGGGGTCCTGGCCATTGAATAACAGGGTAAAATGGGGCTAACAAAGTATGCAGAGAAACAGATGGACTACAGTCTGTTACTGTAGAACTACAAAGTGCACCTATACAGTAAGTGGAGCTGATAAAATGGACAATGAGCGTAGAAACAAGGAGGTGGTCATGATGTTATGGCTGATTGGTGTCGTCTACTATTCGGGTGCAGAAGCCGTCGTTTCATGATCTACCTAGTGCACTACATAGGGAGTAGGGAGCACTTACTCGTTTAAACGCCAGGCGGCGCTACACAACCACACTCCTTGTTGCAAGGGTGTCGTAAAGCAGCACTGGTGCTACTCTACGGCAGCGTGGTTCTGTCCCCTTTCCTCCCTTCTGTCCTTCACGGCGGCGCCGCTACCAGCTCAGCAGACAGACGCTCCCCTCAGCAGCGCAGACATGGCCAAACTGAGCAAAGAGACCAAACAGCGGCTGCAGCAGGTCTTCCAGTGCGGGCAGTTCATTATTCGGTGGGGGTTCATCCCCACTGTCCTTTACCTGGGTTAGTAACTTTATCATATGCAGTGTTAGCTGCGAGGCTAAAGCTGGCTGCCTATTCGCCAGCTTCTAGTTCGAATTCTCCCGTTCCACCTTAAATGGTGCAGCAGTTACGTTCCGGCGCCTGAGGTACCATTTAAGGTGGAACGGGAAAATTAGAGCAAGAAGCGGGGCGAATAAGAAACTGACTTTAACGTCATTTAAGCTAGCTCGAGCTAGTTAGCTAGCTTGCTAGCATGTGGGCTCTGCTCTCTGACTCAGTTAAAAGTCCTTTAGTTTCGATTCGGTGAACTAGCAACCTTGTGTCCACCTGTCGTGTGTGTGTGTATGTCTATATAACTAATATGTATATGTATATATCTGTGTGTATATATATGTGTATATATATATATATATATATATATATATATGTATATGTGTATGTATACGCGTGTGTGTATATATACATATATATACATGTGTGTATGTGTGTGTGTATAAATATATCTATCTATCGATCGATCTCTCTCTCTCTCTCTCTCTCTCTCTCTATATATATATATATATATACATATATATACACACACACACACACATACACATATATATGCTGATCAGGTATAACGTTATGATTACCTCCTTGTTTCTACACTTATTGTCCATTTTATCAGCTCCACTTACTATATAGGTGCACTTTGTAGTTCTACAGTTACAGACTGTAGTCCATCTGTTTCTCTGCATACTTTGTTAGCCCCCTTTTACCCTGTTCTTCAGTGGTCAGGACCCCCATGGACCCTCACAGAGCAGGTACTATTTGGGTGGTGGATCATTCTCAGCACTGCAGTAACACTGACGTGGTGGTGGTGTGTTAGTGTGTGTTGCACTGGAATGAGTGGATCAGACACAGCAGTGCTGCTGGAGTTTTTAAATACCTCAGTGTCACTGCTGGACCGAGAATAGTCTAATGGAGTGGACAGTGAGTGGACACAGTGTTTAAGAACTCCAGCAGCACTGCTGTGTCTGATCCACTCGTACCAGCGCAACACACACTAACACACCACCACTGTCAGTGTTACTGCAGTGCTGAGAATGATCCACCACCCATATAGTACCTGCTCTGTGGTGGTCCATGGGGCTCCTGACCACTGAAGAACAGGGTAAAAGGGCACTAACAGAGTATGCAGAGATATACACATGTATATTCCCACAGAACACTGTTGGCTGGATATTTTTGGTTGGTGGAGTAAGTGGAGCTGATAAAATGGACAATGAGTGTAGAAACAAGGACATAATGTTATGCCTGATTGATATATAATATGTGTGTGGTGTGTGTGTGTGTGTGTGTGTGTGTGTGTGTGTGTGTGGTGTGTGTGTTCATTTTACTCCGTTTGATTCCTGTTCACCTGCTTTTTGTTGGAATTCTCCATCCCACCTTAAAGGGGAATTTCACCACTTTTTCAAAATTACTAAATAATTCAGTCCTTGAGATGTTTACAGTGGTGGTGATGGGAACCAAGGGTCACAATGTCTACAACACAAATATAGCCTTTTTATTTACAATCAAAAACCACTGGGGAATCTGAAAATGTAAGTTTTCTTTGTGGACTGTTTTGATTTATGAAGCACTATATGTACCCCTCCACCATGAATGGACCAAACTACATTTTAAGAGTAGCATCTTCACAACAATCCTAATACAGTCCGAATAATAATATTGTGCCTCATTAAATGAGAATATAAAATATCACAGTTTATGAATATGAATTTGCTTTTGTGTTCTCTCTGTAGGCTGTAGTAGCAGGCCTCCTCGGATATGAGTTTGTGCAGTGTACAATCCAGGCCGCTAGGGGGCTCCCTGTGCTTAGAGACTCTGGCTCTGTTCACATTACCAAGTCTGATTTTTAATGGGATAGATCTGATTTTTTCAGAGCTGTGTGAAAACTATCTTTTCAAGACAGATTAGAGTCACTTTGGCTATGTTCACATTAGCAGGTTGAAGTGGCAAAAATTATATTTTTTTTAATGTGACACATCTGATGTTTTTTAAATCAGTTTCAGCCACTTTTATATGTGGACTTGGATCAGATACATATCCAGTTTACATTACCTCTCAGGCATGAGCAAATGAGGACCGCAGGACACAACTGCGCCAGTTAGGCTTAAAGCTCACTGGTGTTTAGACATTTGATTTGTTACAACTAAATTTGCTTTTTAAAAAAGGATTCAGTAAAATGAAATGAGCTTCCCATCACTCTGTATATTAAAAGAGTGTTCTACAAATCTGACCCAACCATTTCTGGTTAGACTGTTTTCTCTATTCTGTTAAAAGGAAGCAACACCAAAGGGGAACTTGGACAGGAAACACTTTTACATAAAGAAGCTATAATACTTACTTGGAATGGACCGATATGGGAACTGTGGGTCAATATTGATATCCCATATGTTTCATGTTCATATCTGCCAATGTCAAGACATAACTGCTTATAAAATGTACAAACTAGGACTGAATCTCCTTAAATTACAGAGAAATATAACATTTTCTTCTATATTTTAGTGTTGCAGTCCAGCATTGCTCTTCTGGAGTGTGATTAATACATCATCAAATATCAGTTTGAAATATGAGTCAAATCCAAAGAGCAGTCCAATGCTGATAATTGTCTTTAAAGCAGTTATCTGCTGGCGGTATGTTGACAGCAGTGTACGTTGCATGTCAGGCATTATTAATCCGATTAAATAGAACAGTATGTATTTTGCAGTACTGGGTCCATCAGGTTCATAATAGTGCGTTGATCATAATCCACTACCCACAAGCCAATTTGTTGACTCTGAGCTGATTGTCACGAGTGTGTGCTAACCATGATACAGTGCTATATGCTGTACTGTTATGCAACAGTGCAGTTAATCTCACCAATTTCTCTAAATTTCTGCACAGTTCAGTCATTGAGATGTAAACAAAGCCATTCAGAGTGTTTTGATGTGAAGTGACTTCTTTACTGTTGTTTTGATAGGAACCAGGGGTTGCATTGTCTACCAGTGAACATATGTGTGTTTTCTGAGTTTATATGTTATATTAATGATAGTAAAATAATAGTAAATCTCAAAAAATATGTTTTCTTTGAGGACTGTTTTGCTTTACGACGCCTTGCATGTCCCTCTCCACCATGAATAGAAAAAATATGATTTAAGCCAAAATCTCACCTCAAAACAATCATGAAATAGTGTCCCCAGCTTCAGACAGTGGATATATAGTCATTTCATACTTTGGGTTTCTGAGGCAATAAACCCTTCAGACATCTGGTTCCTATCACCACCGCTTAGGAATTTTCGGTTGGTAAGTGTCTCTAAAAAGCAGCATTTCACATCAAACCTCTTTGAGTTTGTTTACATGTGTCTCATTTCTCATTTTGGTGTTCTGTGAGGCGTTCATAATCGCCTTCCTTGTTTCTTGGGCATGAGCAAATGAGAAGAAAGTGTATCTTCATCACCTCAAGAAGGATGCTAAACAGAATTTGGATAAAATTAGTCTTAATGGATCCGTACAAACTCCCAAACAAAGGGTGCAGTGATGATCTGGATAATCTGCCACCGCATTCGTTCACTCTTTCATTTTTTAGCTCACTGGTTTTGTTTCAGTGCTTGTTCTATTGATTAATTTAGAATTTTCAAATCACTCAAAGCCCATGCGGAGTTTGCAAATGGACATTCTGCTCAGCCGCTGGCAGATTTAGCTCAGTTACTGACATATTTCATATTTTTGTAGATACTCTTTTAGCAAACACTGCTAGCCTAGTTAGTTGGCAAACTAATGACACTATGACTGTACTGTATAATATTAAACCCCACAAAATACATAGCAGATCACGAGGCTTGATGTTTACACTAAAAGGGCAGTCGATCTTTAAAACAGACCGACAGATGCTTATCCTGTTTTTACCTCAGCTAACATTGCTAGCCCAAATACGTTACAACTTGCTTCATCTCACGCTTTTTAGCTGGAAAAGTATGAAATTAGCTTAGAGTATGAAATTAGCCTGAGCTTGATGTTTATTGACACTCAAACTGCGATGCTTCCTGTGTGGTATCTGATAAGGTTTGAATATTTCTTTCCTGTCTGCTTTCTTTGGTTTCGCCTCACGTTCGTCATCTCTGACAGTGCATATAGTCCATGAGATGCAGCTCCCATGAAGCAGATAGGAAAGGAAGATTTGGAACTGGCCTAGATGACTGAGTAACCCTGCCAAAAGAACAGATCACCCGTAACACACTGCGACTTGGCATCCCATTCCCAAGCCTTACAGACGATTCATTGTCCAGCACTACCTAAGAATTTCAAAGAAAGACAAATAAAATGAGGAACGAAGACTCATAAGAAGAACTTCTGTAATTGACACCGGTTGGTTTGTTTCCGATTCCGTTTCCGGAAGCTTCTCAGAGATTAGACGCAATCATTCGGAAGGCACATAGGAAAGGTCTCTGATAAGTTAGTTTCTGATGCTAAAAGAAAACTGCCTGATAAAGAATAATCTGATGGACTACTGATTGTGTTTAGATATAGTCAGCATGTTATTAATGAGATATTTTCTCATAACTTTATGAGAGATTCATACAAGGATTGGCGTTAATGAAAATCATTACAAATCATGACAGAAGTTTGAGAGAAATGTGATAGCTGACTATTACAAACCCAATTCCAAAAAAGTTGGAGGGTAAAATGTAAATAAAAAAGACAGAATTGATCTGCAAATCCTCTTTGGCCCGTCTTCAGTTGAGCAGAGTACTAAGACAAGATATTAAATATTTCAGCTGAGCAATTTATATATATATATATATATGCGTGTGTGTGTATATATATAATATGCTTATTGTAAATTTCATGCCTACAATATGGTGCATCAAATTTCCTTTCATCAGTGTTCAGTAATCATTTTGGACTGAGGATACCAATTATTGTAGATTTTTTTTTTCCCCATTCTTGTTTGATATAACACTTCAGCTGCTTAGCAGTCCCGGGTCTCTGTTGTTGTA